GTTCAATCCCAAACCATACTGAGGAACCCATGATTAAGAGTTCAAGAGGCTAGATCAGGCTTCCTCAACCTCGGCCCTCCAGATGTTTTTGGCCTACAACTCCCATGATCCCTAGCTAGCAGGACCAGTGGTCATGGATGATGGGAACTGTAGTCTCAAAACATCTAGAGGGCCAAGGTTGAGGAAGCCTGGGCTAAATGGCCACATGACAAATGTTTCATGCAGCCCCAGCTAACAAAAGATCAGTGTTGGAAGCTACTCATAGGAAGAGGCACATTCCTTGTGCAGAATCCACCCAGCTCAGTACTGCCTACACTGACTGACAGCAGCTCCCCAGGGTTTCAAGGAGGAGATTTCTTTTCAGCTCCATCTGGAGATGTCAGGGGCTGGATCTGGCATTCTGCATGGCAAGCATGTGCTGTACCCAAACGCACCTCCCTCAAATCCCTTTTATCTGACCTGCTATTTAATCCATCCCTACCCCCCACCCCAATGCTATCTGACGACTTGCTGCCTGACAGATACCCTGGCTACACATGGCCAGAATGCCCTTGCAGGCTCCAGCCTAGAACAGCACCCCTCTGAAGTTGGGATAAGGGGCGGGGGGGACAAATGCAAGTTGGTTATTAATTTTAACCCAATCAAGGTGTGCCTGGTTTGCTCCTGTGAGACCATGGCTCATCACCCAGTGGGCCATCCCCAGCTGTATGCGCTCACCGCTTGGCAGAGGAAACACATGCCTCGGTGATCCAGATTTGGCATTTCCACCAGGACAGCCCCCCTTCTCTAATTACATCTTTAGATTGTCTTTCCCTTGCCACTTCCTGTTCCCAATTGCAGCTGTGAAATATGCTAATCCGCTGCTTACACCATGAGAAACAAGAGAGCTAATAATAACCTGCAAGTTTTCAAAGCGCGCACACAGAAAAGAGTAGTTTTCAGCATCTCACCCTTGCTAGTGCAGCTGCCATCCCACACTGGCTGACCCCATGCGCTGTGTGACAACTGGCTGGGACCAGCCTGTTTACTTTGTGCTCACTATGGCCTCCCCTACTAGGAATCCTTTAGTGCTTGAATGGCAAGTGCCCACTCTCTGTTTCAAGAAACACAGCTCAAGTGAGACCGCCCCTCTTCTTTGGACCAGCTGGTGTCGGAAAAATGCAGATCCTTTAAAGTCACACAGAATTCTTTGTTTGGGATAAACATCAAGGGGGGGGGCAGAAAAAAAGTACTCTCTGCCTTTGAAGTGCATCATAGTACAGTGGTACCTTGGGTTAAGAACTAAATTCGTTCCGGAGGTCCGTTCTTAACCTGAAACTGTTCTTAACCTGAAGCACCACTTTAGCTAATGGGGCCTCCTGCTGCCACTGCGCCGCCGGAGCGCGATTTCTGTTCTCATCCTCTCCTGAAGCAAAGTTCTTAACCCGAGGTACTATTTCAGGGTTAGCGGAGTCTGTAACCAGAAGCGTATGTAACCTGAAACATATGTAACCCGAGGTACCACTATATTTCTCAGTGTAATGCTATGTCTGCATATTATCAGTTTCCACTTGATGAGGATGGGGCCAGCCAGCACAAGAGATTATGCTGTCTTAAAAGGGGAACCATCACTGCTGCCTTTCCTAGTGAACTGACTTCCACTGCTGTCTCCTCTTGCCCTTCTTTAGTTTTTGCTGATGTGTGAGCAGAGGCCACTCAGACAGTTCTAGGCCCTCTGGGGCCCTTCTCACCCCACAGTACAGTCGTACCTTGGTTTTCGAACAGCTTAGTTCACAAACAACTTGGAACTCGAACGTTGCAAACCCGGAAGTGGGTGCTCCAGTTTGTGAGCTTTGCCTCGAAGCCAAATGTCCAGCGCGGCTTCCAATTGGCGGCAGGACACTCCTGCAGCCAATTGGAAGCTACACCTTGGTTTCTGAATGTTTCAGAAGTCAAAATGACTTCCAGAATGCATTCTGTTTGAAAACCAAGGTGTGACTGTATGTCTCTTGGGGGAATGGTCCTTCCTCAGAGTGAGGCACTGTGAGTGAGGCAGTTTTGGAGAGCGCATGAGCCACTGCTCTGAAGTGGTATCAAAGGTTCCACATTTTACTCTTGGCAATGGCAAATACTATTAAAGTTTAAACACTTGTAAATTATGGAAGTTTAAACAGGTGCTCTCACAGAGCCAACCACTCAGCCCGATCCATTGCAATGAGGCAAAGGACTCACCTTGTCTAATAGGAGGGCTGGCCCCATATGTGAAAATCTGTCAAACTCAAAAGCTTGTTTTCATCAATTTCAACCATAGTTAAGTTTCAAAAGAGGTTCTATTGTCTGCACTGCATTCCTTGATCTAGAGGTCTCTTTTAAAAGTACCACTCTTTGCATTTAAGATGTAAGGGAAAGACCTGGCACTTTACTGAAGGGGCTTTAGATCAAGGGAGGAACCCACCTACTTGTGTGATGGTTAAGCCTCAGATCATTCTTGTGGGTTCTCTCCCTCTTACATTAATTTTCAACATGTTCCCTTGAGGGTTTTGCAGTTGTATGTTCACTGCGCTAATAGCACCCGCATGCAAATAATCTTGGATTGCACTTTCTATTGTGTCTCACCCTACTGATCACTTTGAATTTTCACAAGTGCACAAAGTAACATCAAAAAGCTGCAACCTGCTCCACAAAGCTCACCTTTAGAACCAAAGTGTGTGTCCAAGTGTATGTGCACCCACACTAAAGTCTCACTAGGCTCCTCCAAAAAACAGATAATCACAATGTCCGATTCACGCAATTTGTATCAGAATTTTTTGAGCATGGTAAGCTGGAGCAGGAATTGTATCATTCTTCAGACTAGTACAAATTGCAGTATGTTGTATACTGCAACATCTGTGTCAACTTCAGGTAAGGCATGGATCAATGGAAGACTCAACTACAGCAGTTATGTACTTTTACTGTAATATATTAGGAGGATAGGAAACATTCCTTTACATTAAAGCTGCACCTGCTATACGGTGAATCAGAGATCATACAGGGTCATTTAAGACCTTTAAGGATCCCCAGGTACAGATTTCCTCTGAAGTGTAAAGCAAGGGGATAGATGGAGGCTGTAGGACCTTCCACTGCTTTTTCTAAAAGAACAAGAACAACATTTAGATTGCCAACTCAGAATGGACAACTTAGAACCCTATACCACCCAGACCTGCTGGTGCAATCTAGCCAGATGGGTGGGGTACAAATATAACAACAACAACAACAACAACAACAACAACAACAACAACAACATATTTGCCTTTGGAGACTGTGTGGTGCAGGACTTGAATGCAGCTTGATTAATGAGGAAGCATCAAACACAGGTGCTTTGTGCAAACTATGACTGCACTCCCAGCTGCACTCAAATTCTGCAAGCAGGTTGGATAACCCTTACCTCCAACTCTTCTTAATTTGCACCCTCCACTCCAGGGGTCAGCAAAGCTTTTTTGGCTTGGGCCGGTTCACGGTCCTGCAGACGCCGCAGTGGGCAAATGCTATTTCCGGCACTCCTTCCAGTGCGGAGGAGGTGTGCGCAGCTTCCCATTGGCTGCAGGAGCTTCCTGCAGCCAATGGGAAGCCGGCCAGCATTGTGGAAGGTGGTCCCTTCTCTCCTTCATGCTGGTTTAGCGTGGCGCACGGGAGCCAACAGAGTGGGTGTTGGGGGTCCCCAAGTGGACGGGGGGGTCCCATGGGCCAGTTAAACAACCCCATGGGCTGCTTGTGGCCCATGGGCCTTAGGTTGCTGATGCCAGCTCTACTCTATGTATTTTACCTTTATATCAACATCAGAAATAATTTAAAACATCAGAGGTATCACTCAGATTGGATATAGGAATCACACCACTCTTTAATGTTTCTGGACCCTGGCCTTCCACATCCTTGTTTCCTCCAGGTGTTGTTGGACTAGACCTTCCATTAGTCCTTACCATTGACCATGCTGACTGGGACTGATGGGAGTGGTAGTTCAACATCACCTGGAGGGAACGAGGTTGGGGAAGACCATTGCATTTTGCATGTCCAAGTTTTAATGCCAGGCAAAAGAACTCAAAAGGGCAAGCATGCAGGCAAAAGAATCCAGCGAAGGGAGATGTGCCACATTGCCAGCAATGGTGCATGCATCCCTTTGAGACATTACAGAAGTCATATTTTTGATGGTTTCACATCACATCTCAAATAGTGGGATAATCCCAATAAGGAATTTAGGTCAGTGACTGAGATCCAATTCACACTGGATTCACAGCAGCTGCTCTATTAGTTTGGCCTATTGCAGCTCCCTGCTCAAGGTGGCTGGTAGATCTGGAGGGGGTTTATTCTCTTAAGCCTCCGAGGTGTATTCTCTTAAAGATTTTACTTCCTGCCCGTGGAGAGATGGGAGGAAACAATCCCACACAGGACCACATTTCTTTCCTACAGGAGAACCGACGATTTTGGCGATGAGTCATGCAACCTTTTAACTTCAAACAAGAAGTGGCTGCCATGGACCGAAGAGAAGGGGAGTGAAGCAGTCATCGCAAGTTTGGCGTTTGTGTGGAACAGCCTTGTTCTTTGTTATCGTGTTTGGAATCTTGATGTACTGTATTTAGAGGGTCTTTTGACACCCATGCTAAAAAAACAACAACCCAACCTTTTTTTTTTACTTGACAGACATCACACAATGCAAGATCATTTTACATAGATGAGCCCAGCAGATGATTTCCCTCTCTACCCAACAGTGTGAACCGTATGTCTCTTCTGAATTTGTCTAGCAAATTATCTTTGCAACTGGGGGGGGGGGTAGCCTTTGCTGCCAAGCTGTCTAATTTGTATGCAGATTATTGGTCCCTGGCAGATGATTTATATACGCGAGCCTAACTATGCAGATCCAAGACATTTGAACTTGAACTCCTTATTAACTGACACAGCCACTCAAAACCCAGGAACAGTTTCAAGCAAGAGGCCAGCTTTCTCCAAGCCTCCATTTATTTCCCTACTGGGGCAATACATCTCCTTACCTTCCACTGGTGAGGTCTTCAATCTCTTGCAAATATTATGTACACCCCCATAGGTGTCGTTTATCCGGTTCACAGCCTCTCCACTGCGAAGTTCCATGAGGTTCCGCAGATCCATAACAGAGCAACCAAAGTCCCCCTCATGGTTGCCCTCAACCACAGAGTTCCCAGGGTGGTGATCGGCAGAGTTGTTCGTCATCTTGACAAAAGCAGAGTTGGTTCAAGCAGAGAGCAGCACAAGAAATGTTGTCTGCAACTTTTTCACTTCTGTGTTTCTTTCCTCAACGGAAACAGAGCAGGTAATGTAAACCTCTGAGCTCCACGCAGAAAGCAGCCCAGTTCTGTGGCCTGTATGGCACCAGAAGCAATGCCTCTGGGGGAAACGGAGGATCCTGGGTTAGAGGGAAGGGCTGGCAAGGGGGTGGGGATACCAGCGCTTCCTTTTGCAGTTCCCCAGGTAAAGCTGGTGAGCCTAGCCAAGCCCAACTTCTTCCGATGAAGGTGTAAACAGGATGCACATGTTACCGTGGAAGCAACCTTAGCAACAGCCAGTGTGCATCTCCCAGAGAAAGAGATGGGCTCCCTGGATACTGTCTTCAACTGAAACTGCAAGACAAGGAAACAAAAATTATAAGTTAATAAGAGACCCAAGAGGACAGTTTATATACACATGGGTGCAGCAGAGGCAATGGGAAGTATCCATTCTGGGAATGAAATTGCAAGGGATGCAGCCAAGTTTAAAGATTGTCCCAGATATTGTGCTGCTCTTCAGAGCAGCTCTGAATGCATTTAATGATGTTTTTGCTGCCTTTCCATTCACAAGAGTGCTAAAATAATAATAATACACAATTATAAATAACAATGTACTGCAAAAAAAAAAAAAACCCTTTTGGAAATCAGATGTACCAAGGCTAGCCTTTTTTGTTTGTTTGTTGAAGCCCCATAAGATGATGTGCTCAATTCAAACAGATTTGCAAATTCTTGGCCTCAGAGAGGAAAATACAAAGAAGACAAGAAAAGGTTACAAAATGGCAGGGAAGTGATACAAAGGAAGGGAGTTTCTAGCTGACTTTACTGCTTTTTACTTTAAAAGGCTGAAAGCGGATCCTCCAGGGAAATTCCCAACCTTAACAGGACAAAAAGGCATATGCCACAAAGAACAACCACCTAAGGACACAAAAGCACAATGGCTTCAGCCCTTGCGGCTTCTCAGCAGTGCTGTTGAGCAGAAGAACCAAACTTTAAGGACTGGTGCCTGAGACTGCTTTTTCCTCTCCTTCCTCCCCATCCCTTTTTCCTAGTGCGTCATGTCTTTTATAAGCCACTCTGGTGGCCTTTTCAGCTAAAGGGTGAGGTTAAGATGCTTTAAATAAATATAATAAAAACTGCTTTGGAAAGTAGTCTCTCCCCACCCTCGCCCTGCCCCGCCCCCAGCCACTATGAAGGGAAAAACCAAGGGCTCAGCCTCCCTTCACCCCTGTTCCACTCTTGCAGGGAGGAATTTACAGCTCCTATGTTGGCGGAGTGGAGGAAATGCCCCCCTCCGCAGGAAAGCAGATTTTGAGAAACTTCCCAACAGTATGACCAGCTCCCTGTTGCAGGAAGCAGTGGGCTCTCCTTCACTGGATGCATTTAAGCAGAGGTTGGCTGGACGTTTGTCAGGGGTGCTGCATCTTCATCCCGCACTGCAGATCTTGCAAAGAGCACGGGGTTGGGCTTGATGGCCTTAGAGGTCCTTCTTAGGGCTATGATTAACTCTCTGATCTTGCTTTGGTGTGCAGGGATGAGCCCAATCTATAGCTGCCAGCAATATTCTTCGACTTGACATGGAAGTGTGCATCCAGACTCCCATCAGATTTTGTGTGTTTGGGCAGGGGTAATAGATCTGTTTTGACCCCCAATAATATGCTACAAGAGTAGAGAGATTTTCTATCAGTAGATGAACTTTCCTACTCTGTGCATACAGATATTGATATACAGATGCTAGGCAGCAGAACTGCATTTTAATGAATGACACAATATTAAATGATGGACAAGAGTGGAAGGAAAATTTGCTGTTCTGTTAATTCTGCAATTCCTTTGGGGCTCTATTTTCTGGACCCAGAGCTATATCTTAATGGAAAACTATTTAAGGTCACTGGGTTTGGCCTCTCAGGCCTAACTAGCTTGTGTCCTCGCCATACACACTGTACAAAATCAACACAAAAGTCTGCTGCAAGCCAACATCATCCATCGGAGACATTTCTTAACCGTGAATGCCTACTGGACATCTTCCCTCCTTTCACAGAAACAAGGACCCAGCCCTAAGCCTTTCTTTCACTTTAGAAATACAACCCAAATTGCTGGATGTTAGGAAGCAGCGACAGGGAGAAAACACCTCTGAAATCCAGCTTTCCAGATGTTGTAAGAGAAAAGTCCTTTTCAGAACAGTGCTCACAGGCTCCAATAGAGGCTCCATCCCTGCGCAGTACATGCGACAGTCAGAGGGCAGGGCTAGTCGGGGCAGGGCTACACAATGCAGTCCTGCTTCCCCCTTGTACACTGGGGGAGCTTGTGACCACTACCCCTGAAAAGTCTTCAATGGAATGTAGTAGATCCATTTCTTTAAAACTGGGGTTTACCCCAGCTGCATATAAAGTGGGTTGAGGGTCCAGGTTTTAGAGCAAAAGGGGATAACTTGATTCTGGAGCTGGGAGCTCCAGCTGAAGGAAATGTGACATCCAGGTGGAGGCTGCAGTGGGTGGGAGGACAGGATTGAGCCCATTGCACCTGTGTGCCGCTTTTGCACTAAAATCTTACTTGATAAGTGATTCTGGCATATCCAAGTTTTAAAAAAACGGGTCTGCTGCTGTCACACACAATTTGGGCCAGGAAAAGTAGCTGCACTTTCTGACCCAACTTACTGATTTTCTCCTAATGGAGAAGCAGCTTTCCGTGAAATTGTTTAAATAAGGACTTTGCCCTGGCACTGCATTTTGCACTCTAGCTAAGTCTGACTTTTAGCTAAATTGCCATGGTGTGTGTGTGCGTGCGTGTTCTGGTTTCCCACTGCATGTAATGGGCTTCTCTTCCACTCTGAATGCTTACCATGAACTTAGTGATCAATTTGCCTTGCACAGATTCACATCTGAACCATGGGCAACACGGACCATGCAACACCTTGATGTTCAATGTGGCAACAGACACTCAGGTTGGGAGCGGCAACCCTTTACACTTTATGGGTTATGTAGCAGGCTGTCTTATACCAAGTGAGACCAAACTGACCCATCTAATTCAGTACCAGCTACAGTATAGTGGCTGGCAATGGCTCTCCAGGGTTTCAGACATGGGTCTTTCTCAGCCCTGTCTGAAGATGCTGGCAGATGATCTACTAATAAGTTACAACCCTTCCCTATTGGTTGTATCCAATGCTAGTTCTACCCAAAGTAGAACCATTGAAATTAATGAGCCTAAGTGAGGCACGCCCATAAACTTCAGTGGGTCTATTCTGAGAAGAACAAACATTGGATACAACCCTACGTCTCACTGGTCCCCCAACTCACTTTGACCATCTCTCACTGTTCAAACTGAGGTTGGGAACGGAATCTGGTTTTCTTTGCTCAGGTTTGTAAATCTCCTGGGTATGCATAATCTACTACAGAACAGACCTTTCCCTGAAGAAACAAGCAACATAAGAAGTCATTAACTTCATTCAAAACATTAAGACCAAAAATAACAACTTCTACAGCCATCTGAGTTAAGGAACGTGTACTGTTATCTTGCAAGAGCCAGAGACTTACAGTTTGTGATTCTGAACTAGACATCAGGGACATTGCATGAGCTAATAAGCAGCTTCCACCACATACCGGAGCACCCAGTCTTGGCAAATGACAATCTGCCTTAAAGGAAATCGCCAGTTGCATAAGGATAGAAAAAGGAAAACTGTAACAGATGGACATTGCAGGAACCGAGGCGGGGATATGGAAGTGTTCAAAGGACAAACTGTTACGCTCCCTAGTCACATCCTCCTCAGCCTTGATAACAGGGCAAGTTGCATCCTTCGCTGAGAATCTCCAGCTTCAATAAGAGTGAATTCCTCAACCGATATATATGGGGGGATTTGGCTGTGCTATTCAGCCCCAGAGCATTTTTCTAGGCTGCCAAGTAAAGTTGCGACTACAGTATTCTCAGCCCAAGACCCCACCACTCTGTGACACTAACTATACATTGCACCTATGTGCACCCAAGGGCCAAACTAGGAGTGATGAAACTGAATGAATGAAGATCTGCTCTCTGAATTTTTGCAACAGCAACTGCGGGTGGGGGCGGTGGCAGTGGCAGTGGCAGGAAGGTGATCCAGTTCAGGATCCTGGTGCTGGCAAAGAAGGCTCAACCCTTTTCCCCATGCTCTTTTCCCAATGCAACCCCCCCCCCCAGCTGCCACTTGCACCATTAGGGAAAAAATAAAATGTATGTACACATGTATGCTTTTCTCCACAGGGCAAATAGCAGCTTTGAGGGGAAAATTTTAACTGGCAAATGGCATGGTGAAAAGGTGCCACAGTTCCAGTCTGGATTGCTTCCTCTAGCTGGTGGCTGCTATTTGCAAAGCAGAAAGGCATTCATTTGTTATCGGGTTTGGTTCACCCCTGAGCCCTAACATTTCCTTTGGAAGAAAGAAAATTTAAAACAGAGGTGACTGTTGTACTTTGCTTACTTTTTATTTATTTAAAAAATGTACAATTATTTACACCCATCAATGTTTCCTTTCTCATAGCAACACAAGCCTTTTGCCACTTGCCATTTCTTTGCTCCCAATTCCATTCCCCGTGTGGCTTTTCCCACTAGCAGCATTCCAAAATATTGTGTGTAGCAAGCCAACCCCTTTAATTCTCTGACCCGTGTGCTCTAGTGGCTAGTGCTGAGCTAAGACTGGAGAGCTCAGAGTTCAAATCTCCAGGTAGCCATGAAAATCACAGGGTGACCTTGGGCTATCAACTCAAACTGCCTCACAGGTTTGCCATGCAGAGATAAAATTGGTGTGTGGGGTGTGGCGGGTGGGGTGGGGTGGGGTGATAGACCCATGCATGCCTCCCTGAGCAACTTGGAGGCGGGGGGGGGGAATGTTACAGATAAACAACCATTATGCTAGTGTAGCAGCCAGCAGGACCATTGATCCCTTGTGCTGAGCATATAGTAGCTTATGTTCCAATTTAAACGCAAAGCTGACTGTGTGGCATGTTACACAGGTAAGCAGTTTTAGCTTTCCTTACTGTGGTTTTATAGTTTGTTGCAAGTTGTTCAGAGTGGCTGGGGCAACCCAGTCAAATGGGTGGCATATTATTATTATTATTATTATTATTATTATTATTATTAAAATTGGGTCTCAAGCTGCAACTTAAGAGAGGCAGAGATCAAAAAGGGTTCTGAGTGATGAGGAGAAATACTGGTTAGGAGGCAATGTGGTTCTGGTACCCACAGATAAAAAGTCACTGGGTCTTGCAGCATCGTGATATGAAGCTGGAGACGCAGGTAGGAAAAACAGTAACAACAACAACTGTGCTGGAAAGATAGTGAAGCTCACTAAGAGATTTGCTGTCTTTTTCTCTGGCAGGGCCCCTATGCTT